AGGCGGCGACGCGCCCCAGGGAGCGCCTTGCCCCGAGCCGAGCCGTGCCTCCCTCCCGCCGCCCAGCACCAGCCGGCTCGGCCGCTACAGGCAACTTGGCGCAGCAGGGCTCGCTCGCTCATGGCGCCGGCGACGCGCTTCTCTCCCTCGCTGGCCCCGGCCGGAGCAGCAGCAGCAGCAGTAAGAGGCGGCGGGAGGGACCCCGACGCGAAGCCTCCCCCTCGGGAGAACCCTAGCCCGCAAGTTTGGCAAAGTCACCGGAAAGAGCCGAACTGGATTCCTGAAACGTGAAGCCCTTGCTCGTGGATTACCGTTCTTTCGCAACTCTCTGGTTTGCGCCGGAAGCTCCAGTCCGGGCTTTGCCCTTGGCCCCGGGGCCCTCCTCTTGTTTTTTAGACCAAGCAGCAGGCTGAGAGTTGCATAAACGCGGTGTCGGCCCCCTTTCCCGCCCGTTTCCGCCTTTGGTTCTGAGCCACGGTGGCTGAACTGCCTTGCCTTCGTGGAGTTGGGGGACAGTATTAAAATAAAGGCGCGTGCCAACTTTAGGGCTTTTTGTGTTTTGCTTACTCCCCGCCTTCATTAACTTTGCTCTTTCTACGCACCAAGGCGTTCTGTTTCCTTTCAAGGCGCCTCTTAAAACTAATTTGTAGCAAAGTCACACCTAAAATGTATGATAAATGGACAAATCTGACTTGGTGTCCGCTGGGGTTGGGCAAGAGGAACGCTTCCTGCCCGGAATTCTAATTTATTGTTTTAACACACACTGCCAGGCACGTAGTGGCTAAAATCCATTAAGAAGTTGCAATTAGAGTAGGCCCTTTGAAACTGGAAGTTACAGAGGAGTTGACTCTCCAAATCCCCACTGCTCCAGTGGCCTTACTCCAGTTGTGACTTGCTGCTACTTTTCTGCTAATCTGTTGCAGTGCAGAACTTCCCTCAGATACTTGTCCATTCTTGTTTAGTCATTAAGTCGTGTCCGACTCTTCGTGACCCCATGGACCAGAGCACGCCAGGCCCTCCTGTCCTCCACTGCCTCCCAGAGTTCAGTCAAATTCATGTGACACTGTCCACCATCTCATCCTCTTTCCCTTCCCCTTCTCCTCTTGCCTTCACACTTTCCCAACATCAGGGTCTTTTCCAGGGAGTCTTCTCTTCTCATGAGATGGCCAAAGTACTGGAGCCTCAGCTTCAGGATCTGTCCTTCCAGTGAGCACTCAGGGTTGATTTCCTTCAGAATGCATAGGTTTGTTCTCCTTGCAGTCCAGGGGATTCTCAAGAGCCTCCTCCTCCTCCAGCACCACAATTCAAAAGCATCAATTCTTCAGCAGTCACCCTCAGTGGCCTTACTCCAGTTGTGACTGGCTGCTACATTTCTGCTAATCTGTTGCAGTGGAGAACTTCCCTCAGATACTTGTCCGTTCTTGTTTAGTCGTTAAGTCGTGTCCGATGATAGCTCTGCTTTTTAAGATGCTGTCTAGGTTTATCATCACTTTCCTCCCAAGAAGCAGGCATCTTTTAATTTTATGGCTGCTGTCACCATCTGCAGTGATCATGGAGCACAAGAAAGTAAAATCTGTCACTGCCACCAAAACTTCCCGTTCTATTGGCCAGAAGGTGATGGGACCAGTGGCCATGATATTAGTTTTTTTGATGTTGAGCTTCAGACCATTTTTTGCGCTCTCCTCTTTCACCCCCATTAAAAGGTTCTTTAATTCCTCCTCACTTTTTGCCATCAGAGTGGTATCATCTGCATATCTGAGGTTGTTGATATTTCTTCCGGAAATCTTAATTCCGGCTTGGGATTCCTCCAGTCCAGCCTTTCGCATGATGCATTCTGCATATAAGTTAAA